CCTCAGTTTAACAGGTAAGAAACAGATGTGGAAAACCACATAATCTAAGGTCAGAGAAGGCACATCTAACAGAACCATTGCCACATCTGTTATGTTTAGGCAAGGGTTAACACGGCCTCCTTCCCCACCATGAAACCCCAGATATCATATTCCCAACTGACCCTATCAGTACCTACTTGTTAAAGCAAGTTTTCCCCTACAGTTGAAAGCATCTCTACAAATAAAAACCGAAGTCCTCTATTAAAAAATGAAAAATGAAGTTATCTTCTGTTGAAGTGGATTTTGTGCTGTGAAATCAATCAGGAGTGAAGTTGCATTTGATGATTTCAAGAAGCCACAGCACGCTCGCAAAACCATAGGGAAGCACTGCTCCTTAGAGCATGAGCACACATACATGTATCTACCCTCAGATATTTTTAACGACTAGAAAACCATCTCTAATAATTTTAGATTTCTTCCCCTCTGAAGCCACAGGTATCCTTATGACCCTACCCTGGACCTGCTCTAATAGGCCAATGTCTGTCTTAAGCAGGGAGCCCCAGAGCTGAACACAGCACTCCACATAAAACTAAACACAAACTGCTATATATTCCAGCTTTTAGAGCTTCACATTAGACTTAACACTTCAAATAAAGATTTTGAGAAGCAACCCGTATTGTGAAAGTCTGCTAGAGCAAATGAGATCTCACTACAGACTCAGGAGTTTAGATTCTTCTACAATGCATCTGTTTCAGCTTGGCTACAGGTTAAAGAAAGTATATTCCCTCCCATTGCCACTTAGTTATATCATCTGTCAACCACTACCTCTAGCCAGCTGAAACTAAGCTTGGCTTACACATTTCATTAAACTCTTCTGCAGTTACTTATTATGTTTAGCTACAGTCTCTGAGAAGCATTATGCCAGCATGATGCTGCTGAACTACACCAGAAACCTCACTTGAATAAAGGTACAAAATCATATCTGACCCACAACAAGGGTCAGACTTCAGAGGGGCCAGTCTACAACCAGTTACTGCCTCCTCATTGTGAGCTTCACAGCATTTGCGTGCATGAAGGTGAACTATACATTGAAATATTTTTAGGGCATACAGCCAGAAAGTACTTCTTTGGGTAAGGAAGCACTACAGTAGAGAAATCAGAATGGGATCAGTACATTCTTAAGGCTAGAAAGCATAGGATTTTATTTCTTGAAAAAACAACTGTTTTCTTCTACTGTATCAGTGTTACCTACCTTTCCTTATGGAATTGATGAAGTTTAATGTCAAAAGAATGACTACATATAATAACTGCAGGAAAACTATAGTTTTATATTCCTGATGATTATAAGGTTCATAATGCATCTTGATGATTAATTTTTAAAATGTATACATGATTAAAATAGCTCTAGCTTTAAAATCCCGATGAAATAATTGAAGTAATTAAAAATTACACCTACTTGAAGACTCAGTCAGTAAAAGCACCTCTAATCATAATCAAAACATTTTCTTCCCTGAAGGAATAGTCTGTTCTCCATTTTACTGTGTTCTTTGGTAGCTTCTCATTCATTTTCTTCAGACAAAGATTTAGAATAAGCCTTGTCTGTGGCTGGATAGAACACATTAAGAATGATTTTACGTAGTTAAAAAAAAAAAAAAAAGCAGTATCCCATTCCTAGTATTCAGAACTCTTTTCAGTTGACCTTACATGTATTCCTTAAGCCTGCTTTTTCCCTTGTTTGTTAAAAAGCCTTCTTCTAAGAAAGAACTGTATCAAGACACTTGTACACTTAGAAAAAGAGGCACACATTTCATAATACAGTATACTACAAGCCATTCTGGCCTTCGGCAATTAGAAAAACTTCAGAAAGATTACCACAATCAAGACAGATGGCATGAAAAAGCAGACCAGAGAAATATATTTTTCATGCGGAAGACCAATATTTCATGCTACACTTTGAAGTTCAGAAGCTTCCATACCTCCATTTTTCAATTTTATCCTTCTTAAAGATGTCAGCTTCTTGCAGGTTTTCTAAATTGTACTAGAACACAGAGGTGCTGGCCAAATCAACATGTATTTACACTGGATGCAAACATCCTATCCCAGTGTTTAATCAAAAATTGCAACAAGACAATATACAAAGTGTTTTAATGTATTCAACTTCAGAGCACCCAACCTAGCCCTCCTACACCCGAATTTAGAATTATCTCTGGAAGATTTAAGTTGGCCAACATCTCTGAATAAAACCCAAACCACAAAAAAAAAGTGGCACTCTTACACACAGTCACTTCTGCGTCAGGTTGCATTTTTCTTGCACAGGTAAACCATTCAACTCCAAAGCTATTGTGATTTTTCTAGAAGTCCAAGTAACCATCTCTTGAATACTGATAAATGGCAACTGCAGGCATTTCCATTGGTCCTTAGAGCAAGTTTTCACAGATTTTAATACTGTACCGAAATCCCCTCCCACAAATCCCTTATGGAAAGTCATCATCAAGCTACACCAGGGTCATGCTGCCCTATCCTCTCAGGTTGGTATTTCTCCTGTTAATGTGTGGGAAGTCTTCAGTAACAGCCTTCAAGAACTGGGAAAGTCTCTGAAATCAAATACACAGCCTGTAATGCAATCAGTCACTTGCTTTTCATAAAACTTACAAGGCTGACAGAAAAGCAGCTTTAGTTCTCAGGCAAGACTATTCGCTATATGATCTTGCTGGAAAAACTGTTTACAAACACAGAAGCCTTAAGTCATTCACATTTCAAGTTCAGTTCTTACATTACATGTGTTCTGGTTCGAACTTCCAAATTCTTGAAATACATGATCATCTGTTAGTACCCTTTCTTTAGGGGCTTTAACAAGCATCAAGAGAAGAACTTTACCCTGCAATACTTCATGGTACTTTTAACACTAAACCATTTGTATAGTTGGAACTACAGAACTAACTAGTACATGTTTATCACTCATATAAGACTGAAATCACACTGGAGGACCTGGATATCTGGTAGTTCTCCATAAGAATAAGTTAGAAGTATAAACATGTATCATTAATAACATCAAACGCCTAAGGCCCCACTCAGGACCCATGAGAATTTCCAAGTATTTTTCTTCAGAATTGCACACAAGAGGTTTAACAATTCCCTAGGCACTTCCTTTTCAAGGATATAAGATCCTTACTGTGAAAAGTTAACTCCCATGAATGTCTTTTCTATTACATAGAACTAAATCAGAAAAGCTGAAATCCTCACGCAGGTTATACACCAGTAGATCTGTGGTCTGAAGACAAGGGATTCAGAACCTCCAATCCCACTAGCGATAAATTGTGGTTGTGTGCAAAGTGGTATTGGGTAGATTAAATAAAAACGGTCTGTCTGTTGGACTTCAACAGTTTGAGGAAACATGGATGATGTGTAAGCCTGTTTAGTTCTTCTCATGGGATCCCTTTCCTCCTCACCATAGTGACATTTGGAGAGGCAAAATAAGAATGCACTATTTTGTGCACAATGCATTAGCTTTTGCTTCCTGGAGTCTAATGCTTTTGTCCCTCATTGACAGGTTTTTCATTCAATTCTTTTAGGTGCAAATGAGGCATGGCAGTCTGCCAATAGATATAGAAATACCATCAAATTATGCAATCCTGTATCACTTAAACAAAACTGCTGTAAAATTCCAGTTGAGTCATGCAAGTTATACTAGTAGGGGCCTAACTAGTCTCTAATTGCAAAAGCTCTTGATTATTTCCTGAACTGTGCCATGGCTGGATACTGACTTTGATTACGAGAGGGTAAGTGAGAAGGAAATAAATTTACACAGAAGTAACAATTATACCAAATAGAAGCATTTATTGAAGAGACACTGAAGGAGGGATCTTCAGCTCACGCTTAATAATGCTAAATTGTCACCGAGAAGTAACAATTTAGAGTACAAGTTTAACAAGATAAGATTCTTCTGTATTTCCTTTTAAAGGACTAGGAAAAGGAAAAGATTTTCATAGAAGGTTTGCTCAGAACCTTTTCCTGCTCCCCACTCTTTTCTTCCAGGCAGGATGCTGCACAGGGCAGATGCATGTTCTAACAGCTAGAAAACACCAGAGACGAGCTCCACAAAAAATGTAAGTTTTGAAGTCAGACAGTAGCCCCCCGCCACGCAGCAGTGTACTGCTTGCTGCATAAATACATTGCTGTCAGTAAGAAGTCTCCAAACAATGCTTCCCATTCCCCACTTAAGGGAGACTTAAATATTAGGATAGGTTTTTAGATGCAAGTCATGGTTAAGAGGGGTCACTTATTCCTTATGATACTAGTTTACTATAAGTACTGAATTACAAGTAGAAAAGCACTGTGTAAGGCAGATTTGAGTACAAAACTTGACCTTAACCAAACACAATGGGTGTAGATAGATGTAGATTCTGTAGAATCATCCACATACCATTCTCCCTTGCTTAATTCTGACTCCAAAGAGCTGCTGTTCTTCACTCAAGAACATAAATAACTAAACAGATCTAAAACATACAGAGCAAGCAAAGTAGGTAAGTTGATATTGCCAGAGCAACTTTAACTTCTGAGCTGCAGGGAATACCAGTACCTGACCTTATCATCTGACCTCACATTGAATAACTACCAACAAAACCTCAATTTTAAACAAGTACGTAATTTGATACTTAAGCCATAGCCAGCAAAAGAACAGCAAAAATATAAAACAGTTCATTTAATTTAGAAGCCTAACTATTTTTTGGGCTGTACGATTATCATATGATTAAATATATATAGAGAGAAAAAAATAGTTCTTTAACAATAAGCCTTAATCTGTCCTGATTTTTATTTATTCCAGCGTTGCAGAGAGTGAGAAGAAGCTCATTTACCTTTACTGAGAGCTGGTATTACTTTTGAGGAACCTCTCCAATAGCTCTCGCTTCCCTAATGAGAAGAAACAACTCAGTAACTTCTGCTAAGAACTTTTAATTATCTTTCAGAAGTATTCTTCAATATTTTAACGTAGCTGAAGAAGAAAAATAAACTTGTATTACCTTTGAGAAACCTCTCGGACGCGGTTGCAGGTTCCCGAAGCCCAGCTCGGAGCTGCCCCCTGCGCAGCCCCTCACGGCCCCTCCGGGCACCGCCATGTGCTGGAACTGAGCGTGCTGCTCCTCGGGCGGAGCTCGGCGGTGCCTCCTGCTGGCTGTCCCGGTTCTTGAGCGGTCGGTGTTGGGGGGCTCTGCTGCTGCTGAGGTAAGGGCTGGGGCTGTGTCAGGGTTGGGGTGTTGGACAAGGCCGTGCTGCCTGGGCCTTTGTCTAGGTCGCCCCAGCGTTGGTCTCCTGTTACCTTGAGGCAGCTGCGTGCTGTGGTCGCCATTTTGTGTGGGAGTCCCGTGCTTTTATTAACTGGAGTAATCAAGGAGAGGGCTCAGGTTTACAGCTCTAGAGGGGTTATAGCTGGGGAGGAGGTGTTAATAGAGAAGACAGCACTATAAACCACTATTTAATTTAAGGTACCTTCTGAGCTAGTTTTAGTTGTTATTTTCTGCCTCTTACCTTTTCCTGTTACAGTATTTGATGTTTTTTTCAATTTTAGTGGGTAGCATAGTAGTGTAATTCTTCACACCTGACTTTGTACAAAATTGTCATAATGTAGAAGTAACTATTTCTTTTCCCCATACAAAAAGTTACAGTGATTAAGAGCTTCTCTCTTTTATTTTTCTTCAGGTTTAGGCCTTTAGGTTGTACTTGGATCAGAATTTCCAAGCTTCAGTTGGATTATGAAGAACTGCAGGTGACAATGCTGTAGTTACCTGGCTAAAACGGTCTGGAACTTGCAGTGTGTTTTAGCGAGCCTCTTCAGTGAAAGGTGGGCCAAAGGGAAGAAATAAAACATTAAAATAATAATAATTTAAATCAAACTAATAACAGGACTGTTTTTCCTTAGCACTATACTTAGCCTCTTTGTGTGGATAAGACAGTCTTCTGAGGTGCCTTTATTAAATGTAGGTTGACTAACAGCAGTTGCTGCCACATGATTTGAATACATTTCAGTGTCATTCAAATTAGAACACTTATATTTTTCCACTTACTGTTGTGTAACTTATGCTTTTCATCTGTCCAGTTACACAGTATAAAGCATATCTATAATTCTCTATTGTACTGACTAGTTAGATGGTCTACACATCTAATTCTTGGTCTTGCAAACTGCTGAGCATGCTAGATTTAATAAACCATGCATTTTGTTTTACTTGTTTACCTACTATAGTTACATACACATATGAATAGTCTGCTAAACTGAAATCACATTACTAGGTAATCCATGTGTAAACATACCTTTTCAGAAAGCAGTAGATGTTGTTTGTTACTGTTGATTTATGAACGAGTTACTGAACACTCTTGAGTAGATCAGCTAAGTAATTTTAATATCTTCGTTAATACCAAATGATGTAGTTTTGCTGTGGTGAGCAATATGTTTTAAATGAATGTTTGGGAGATCTTTACTCCCTCTGCACTAAAACATATAGCAATCAGTATCCAGACTTAGGCATCTTTTTATCTTCTACTTCATGGGTGTTCTGCTTGTAAAATTGATAGTGGTTTCCGCAGTGCAGCTGCATGTTTCTGGCAAGTTCTAATTTTTGCAGTGACAAAACTTGAAAACAACAATGCGTGCTCAGTAATGTTAGCCACATAAGTATTCAAAATACACAAATGATCTAAAACATAATAGAAACGGGGTGAAGGGGGTTGGAGGGAAAAGTCTGCTCTTTTTCTGTGTATTACATTTTCAAATGTGTGTAATAAGGAGGGCAAAAACCAAGTCTGCAGCAGATGTGTTATCTTAAATGAAATTGTAAATGATTCTCTTTTTTGCGAATGACTATAGAATGTATACATGACTGCCAGGTATCTGCAATGCTTGTTCAGTGCCTAGCAAAGATGATTTTCTACCTTATTATAATACATTCGTGTAACTTAAGGAACTTGATCATTTTCATAAATATCAGTTAATACCTCAAAATACTTTAAGCGGTGGTTGGGTTACCTCCATTTGAAAAATGTAGTTGTGTTGATTTTGAAGTCCTAGGCATCTAGAGAGTCCTAATGCTGCAGAAGCTATGAAAACTGTTTGATTCTATTGGATGGAGCAGAACTGCCTCAAGTTTTGACCTATTCTGTTGTTAAGCCTGTGAGCAGTGTCTGTTATATGATGTACCAATAATGGTGTGAAAATTGCATTTTAAAGCTGCATACAAATAGATGAAACTAAAAAAAAAAAAAAAAAAAAAAGGGGGGGGGTGGAGGACGACAGTTTTATTGTTACTCTTCACCAGATTATAATGAATATTTTCAGTTTAACATTTAAAGGGAAACATGAATTGAAAAAAATGTTTAACAGACATTTGTTGCATGCTTATGGTATGAGTGAAGGAATTTAGCAAAATATGAGGGAATTTCCTTTTATAATGTCATGTTAGTAGTTAATTCACTCAAATGTGAGAATTAATGGCAACTCAGCTTCAGTCTTAATGGCCTAATCATTAATTTATATGGGAGTTACTCTAATAATAATTAGAGAACTCATTTGTTTTTAATGGGGGAGGGGGGGGGAGGAGCAGTGAGCGTGTTTTCAAAATAATAATCCAATTAATATGCATTAAGTAGAAATTTCAGGGTTTTGCCTGGCAGTTGTGGCTGCTGCTGTCATTTGGAAATAATATTTCATTGCTTCAGGTGGCAGATACCTAGCAGCTACTGCCTAGTCAGCCTGGGCTCCGTCAGGATTACCTGTGAGGTTGTCAGTGTAATTTGAGGCTGGGTGTGCGTTCTGTGGAGATGCTGCTCTTTCTAACCCTGTGATTCAGCATAAACAAGTGCTTTGCAAGCTTACCTTGGTTTACTAAGGCATCTGTATTGATGGATCTCTGTAACCTGTTTTTAGGGAAATCTCTTCTTCTATTGAAAAGAGAAATTAAATGAATGTTTTTTCTAAAATTGTCTTGTGAACAATTTATAGTTGCAAGAGCTGCTGCAGTGGCACCTAAGCTATGTTTAGTTGCTGATGTTTTCATCTCAAGGGGGGGGGGGGGAAGTACGGTATACGTTGTGTTTTATAATAGGTAACCAACTGTGGAGTTCTCATGTAGCCCATACCTTAATAGGAAATTATCTTTTTTCAGATCTGGACGTATCTTAGAAGATAGTTGTTTGCAGCAGTCACTCCACTGTGACCAGGAGGTCAGCTGGGTGCCAGTTTTTAAGGTCTTCTGGAGTCTCAGACAAGTGTCCCATCTGGCCAGTGTCACAAAGATGAAAGGAAATTGTTAATTCAGTGAAAGGCCTTTACTTGATAGGTAAGTCTATACCTTATAGTAAGTACTAAGTTATACCTTATAGTAAGGTATAAGGTATATAAGTATAGGTATATATAGGTATATATAGTAAGGTATAAGGTATATAAGGTATAACTAAGTTATACCTTATAGTAAGTACTATACCTTATAGCAGAGAAGGATTTCTTGTGTGTTTTACAAGTGTTGATACTGACAGATGTTTATCTGCAGAACGATTGGCAAAACATCTTTCTCCAGGAAAAATACTTGCTGAAATGCGAGACCAACAAGTTCATTTGCCCTTGGAGGCAAATAAGGAACCAACCTCTTAGACACAGAGCTATTTTTGTCTTCCTCTGAACAGTGCTTACCATGCGTTATGCGTGTTTTTCTTAAGAAAAATGGTGTCAGCAGACATAGCCAGCCATTAACCTTAAGTACTTCCTATTTAAAGCTTGCACCTGTAGTCAGCTCATTCAGTTGTGAGGGACAGAGGCCTTAAGTCACTTGCTGATGGCCTGCTCTTGAAATGGCCTGTCAGCGTTTTGTATCCTGCTCTATTTGGAACAGTATGGCTGCATACATCTGGAATCTGTTTTGGTCAGGGCCTTCCTGTTCATAGTGCTGCAGTGAGTTTTTGCAGTTCAACCATTTCCAAAAATGAGGATAGGAAAAGAGGACTTGTGTGTGAAGGACTAGATTGAGCCATAGGAGGTAGGAATAGACTTGCAGGTCTCAAGCCTAGTGCCCTTTGCAGACAGGGGATGGTGCTCCTAATTAATGTGGTATGTTTGCCACTGCTACCTCAGGGTGATGGAAATACCTTCATAGCATAACTGTCTATTCCAGCAAGAGGGTCTGTGTTGTGGCTTTCTGGCCTGCTATGTAAAGCTAGTAGACAATAGAGATGGATTCCTACTGATTATAGCCTCTGTCAGGTGAGGAAGGAAACTGCTAGCGCAGTATCAGTTGAATATTTATAAAGTGGTCAAGTTGAGTTCGTAATTATTTAGAAAGATGTGTTTAGAGGTGGATAGCCACGTCACAGCTCAGTATCAGTCAGTAGGAGAGGTCAGTGGCACAGATGAAAGGGTGAGCAGTTACAATTCTATCTGCGTAAGCCTTTGCCTAATGTTTGAAAATGCTGTTAGGTTCAATTACAGTGATCTATTCAATTGTTTCCCAGCATTGTTTTACCTTGTGCTAACTACATTCACGGTCTAGACAGACAAGATGTTTACATTCTGCCAGGACTGCTAAACATTTCCTGCCAACAGATGTTGAATAGCTTCAAGTCAATCCATGATGGTCTTTTTTGTCTGGTCCAGCACCAGAGCTGGTGTCTACTAGCAGGAAGGAACAGCTAATCATTTGGTGGGAACTGTTATTTACTGCTTCCCTTCTAGTTTATTTAACATGTGCCCTTGTAAATTTTAGGGGGAGGGAACTCCTTTTGTGATTTAGAGGTGTTTGGTGTATTGCTGGTATTACACATTTTGTTTGGTGCAGTTTATGGCATATGAGCAGCCTATGTAGCCAGCATGTTTGGTGGCACACTAAATTTTGCATCTACTGGGAACATCTACTCAATGATTAACGGAGATCTGTTTGTACAGAAATGTTTTTCTCTAAACTGCTCATATGAAATATTCAAAAAGGGATGAAATGGTTTTGTCCTTGCAGATACTGTACCTATGCTTGTAAAATATGAACAAGCCTTTAATCAGCTTGAGAATAGGCATTTGAATAAATTCATTGCACTAGATTTTCAGCCAGTATAACATCGAAGTCCTACCAACTTGGATCAGACCTCCTCATCTTTGCTTAACCTACTTACAGGTGTCTAGACTTCATTTTCAGGAGAAGTTCCTTCTGAAGTGGACCACTTCAGAGGTACTGATAGCTTGTTTCCAAGGTAATACATGTATGCTCTGAGTTGTTGCTTTATGAACTGGATGTTATGTTATTTCCATTCACCAGCTACCTTCACTTCTAGGATTACTTTGAAGTCAATGCATGTATGTTGTGGGTATCAAATTTAAGGCATCCGGAGTGAAGAAACAGCTT